AATAAAATCTTTAAAAAAATAAATAAATAAAAATAAACAAATAAATAAAATACATTTAGTTTATGTTCTTCCAGATCCATATAACTTTGGATAATCAAGCTAAGAATCTTTTAAAATATTGTTCTATTGCTTTTAATTTTTAAATTAAAGATCAATGGCCCAAATGCCTCTTTACCTTAAGAGATGAGCTAATAATAATAGTGGTTGTCCATTTTATTTTTTCTTTTCTGCCATTTTCAGCCATCTGTCTGTGTCTGGATCAACCCAGCTTCTTCTAATGGTGCCACAATCTGATAAAAAGAAACAGCAAACAGGACAATGTAGAAACGTCTAGTGAATGAAAATTAAAGACAGAAATGAAACTAGGTTAATGGAGACACTCTAACGAATATTTGAAAGTTAAAATTTGAAACTGAAAAATATCTGTCTTGTTATACATTAAGCTTATTCAATACCATGCTTCCGATTGCAATACTATGCTTCCTACTGTTAAAAAGGAGACAGAACACCCAAAATGGAGTCATTTGTGCTAAACCCCACATCAGTAAACCAAAACTTAATATCTAACCTAACTACATTTTCAACCCCTTTGAATGTATATAACCTTTAACCAGTCAACACCAAATTACCTGGTCAGCACTAGTGAAATAAATAATCCACCCAATAAATCCCTTCCTTTCCCCTCAGGAAGGCGATCTTGCCTGAAACAATGCATTCTTTGTAAATAATTTCTTTTTTCCACCTGCCTTTAAAAACCCCCTTTTCTACAGTTTGGTGGAGCTCCTTTCCCTTGCTAATTGGGATGTTGCCCAATTCATGATTCACTGAATGAAGCCAATCTGATTTTTAAATTTACTCGGTTGAATTTTTGTTATTTAACTCTATTAACAATTACTAAAAGCAATGGTTCCCATTTCAGGGCACTAACTTCATGAAAGAAGACTTGTGTCAAGAACTGTGAAAGGCCTATGGTTTTACTGTATTTGCAAGCTAAAAAAAAAGTTAGCCTGCCACAGTTTAATGGATTTAACAAAAGACATAAGACTCTTGGATCAGAGGACAAAGAATGTTTTTTTTTACTTGTTTTTTTACTCACAGCAAGAGAAGTAACCTCATTCTCTCTCTTTTTTAAAGATTTATTGTTTTAGAGGAGAGAGAACACAGGTGGAGGGGAACAAGGAGAGAGAATCTCAAGCGGACTCCCCAGTGAGTGCAGAGCCCAAAGTAGGGCTCAATCTCACAACCCTGAGGTCATGACCCGAGCCAAAATCAAGAGTCAAATGCTTGAATGACTGAGCCACCCAGGACCCCAGGATCCTCATTCTCTTGCAGCAATTCCCCAAATCCAATTCCCACACGGTTATGGGGAAAAGGCTAGGTAATATCAGCAGAAACAGTGAGGTGTATTATAGGAAAGGAACCCTGAGCTTAGGAATCCCTAATTTTTATAATGGGCTGTAACCAAACCTGCCCTGTGCTCTAGAGGAAAATACTATCTCTAACCTACAAAACTATTCACTACACATCCTTGAAAAGATAGTTGAGGGGTGGGGCCAGTATATGTGTATTTCTGTTGGTGCTGTTAATGCCTGTCTAGGGACCATACTTTTAAGAACTGCTGCACTAAAGGAAGGAAGAGTTTTCTGGGCGAGAACAACACAAAGTACTGTACACATTGGCAAACACCAAGTACTGTACACACTGGCAACCAGATAATAAAAGAAAATGATATAAGAAAATTTCAAAAACATCAGTGTGGTAAAGTTTAAAGTACAGGGGCGCTTGGGTGGCTCAGTCGTTAAGCATCTGCCCTCAGCTCAGGTCATGATCCCAGAGTCCTGGGATCGAGCCCTGTGTCGGGCTCTCTGCTCAGCGGAAAGCCTGCTTCTCCCTCTCCCACTCCCCCTGCTTGTGTTCCCTTTCTCGCTGTGTGTCTCTCTGTCAAATAAATAAATAAAATCTTAAAAAAAAAAAAAAGTTTAAAGTACAGTTGTCTGAGATGGGTGGGAGAAAAGGTAAAAATTAATTACTGTAAATCTAGTAGCATTCAAATGAGTATCACTGTGGTCTAAATTTGGCACTTTTCTGATTATTATGGACACTGACACTCTTAAGCCATGTTTCCATTTCTGTCAAATGGGTATGTCTTTTGTCCATTTTTCTATTAGATTTTCCTTTTCTTTTTCTCATTTGTAGAATTTCCTTATATATTCTAGACATTAATTTTTGTCAACTATTTGTATTTTCTCCCAGTTTAGACTTGCCTTTTCCCCTTCTTTATATTATATGATACAAAACTTAAAATTTTCAATATTGTCAAATTTACCAATGTTTTCATTTATTCTCAGTGCTTTTTATTTAAGAAATCCTCTCTACCCAGAAGTCACAGATATTCTCTTTCATTGTCTTCTAAATTTTTAGTTTGATCTTTCACATTTAAGTCTTTAATTCATCTAGAATTTTGTATAGAGTCTGAAGTAGGGATCCAATTTCATTTTCTAAAAATATGGCTACCTAGTTGTCCCAACACTATTTAGTAGTCTTTTCTCCCCCTCATTATTTGCAATGCAATGTCACCTTAGTGACACATTGTTTTTACATATTCATAGGTCTGCTTCTGGGTTCTATATTCTATTCCATTGTTCAGTTTAATTTTTCCCAAGTCAATGTCATGCTGTTTTTAATTTTTATAGTTTTATAAAAACTCTTGATTTCTATATGGGAAGTCTTGGTATCTTACTCTTCTTTTTCAGTAGTGCTATATGTGTTCTTGGGTCTTTTTTCTTCCCTCTAAATTTTATTTTATTTTTTTAAAAGATTTTATTTATTTAGAGAAAGATCACGAGTTGGGGGAGGGACAGAGGACAGAGAGCATCTCAAGCAGAGCCCAACATGGGGCTCGATCTCATGACCTGAGTCAAAACACTTAACCGACTGAGCCACCCAGGCTCACCACCCCCCATAAATTTTAAAATCATCATGTCAGTTGCTTTAAAACTGTTAGAGGATCTTTAAAATTAGAAGTGCATTTACCTATAAAACAATTTGGAAAAAACTAAATTCTTTATGAAATTGAGTCTTTCCATTTATGAATATGGTATATCTTTCCATATATTTAGGACTTAAACTCGAGTGTTTTCATTTAATATCTGTCATAAACTATTTCCTTATGTATTTTTAGGAAATATGTAAAGGCTATATAATTTCTGTTGTATGGATTTGCCACCCTTTATTTGACCCTTATGCAAGAAAGGAAAATAATTTTCCTTTTACCCTTATGAGTTCTTGGCTGAGATCCCCTATAATGAAAGACAGATTAACAAGAGAAAAACAAACCATTTTATTAACATGTATACCTGACATATACATGGAAGATAACCAGAAAAAAAAGGAGTTAATTCCTTGAGAGAGCCTAAGCCACCACCTTAAATACCATCTTCAGATAAAGACAAAAGAAAGATGTTATGGGAGAGGCCAGTGTTGGGAAGGTACCAGGAAAAACACAGTAAACAAGAGTAAGGTTTGTTATGCAGATTTAAGTCAGTGCCATCTTTAAGTCTCTTGTGATTTAGAGTCACCCTTCTCTTCCTGATACAGAGAGGAAGATACTTAAAAATGGAGGCTTTCTTCAAAAGTGTGAATGTACCTTACAAAAGGGTAACTCCTATTCTGCTTCAGAGTTTCTCCTATGTCTGTATTTCTTAAAATAATCAGCTCAAAATAATCCTTATGTCAAATAGGCATATTCTGCTACCCTTCAATTATCTCTGGTAATTTACAATGGACATATGATGTGGTCCCAAACTTTTCCAATTATAAATAATTTGCAATAACATGGAGTTATCTTGGGGCGCCTGGGTGGCTCAGTTGGTTAAGCGACTGCCTTCGGCTCAGGTCATGACCCCAGGGTCCTGGGATCGAGTCCCACATCGGGCTCCC